TTCCACTTCATTGTCTTCTAAATGCTGAGAAGCTTCAGAACCAGACCCATCATCTTTAGTTTCTTGATTAGTTGAGTCCTCAGACTGATAGTTCTTGCCCTGTGTTTCTGTTTTCTGCTCACTAGTCTCACTCAAACCCAACTGTTCATCAGATTTAATATTTTCTTCTTTTAAGTGTTCATCACTTGAGTGCACATGTAAATTTTCCTGACTATTTTCATCCTTAGTTTTCTCAGGAGAATCACTTTGAGTAACATCATTTACATTTTCTCCACTAGTTGTCTCCTGTCCATTTTTGGTATGAACCTTGTTTTGATTAGCTTCGTGACTGTCTTGTTTAGCAGCATATTTCTCTGACTGTGTTTCAAGATTTTGAACCTCTTTTTTTAGTTCTTCAGTCCATAAGTTTGAATTATCAGTTTGTTCACTTAAAGTTCCTTGATCGGTTGGTTCATTAACTTGAACTACCTCTTTAACCTTAGTCTCCTAAAAGACAAGAACCAACTCATCAATACCAGTTGGTTAGCAACATAAATTCAATCAAACCTAAAACTTCCTACATGTATTAGTCCACTAGCATTACTTTCTTCTCCTGACAATCATCAAGAAAAAAGACCTTTCTAACTCAGTGGCAAAAAGTTGGCCTAAACTCCAATTTTTGCACACCATGGTTTTGTTTGCGCCTTCGTGTTTTTTGTACTGTGCTAAATGTTTCTAGCAGATCAGAACACGCACAGAATGCAAACTGTATCATATAAAGTCGTTCTCATCATCATCATCATCATCATCGCTGTCATTGTTGTTGTCATCATGATCATTATCATCATTGTCATCATCATCATCATCAACAACATTAACACAACTATCAAAGTGCATACATGCAGATATAGAGCAGAGACATCTAGACTGCTCATGGCAACATTCTTTTAACAACTTTCACATTTTTCTTCCATCATGGTCTTCAGATCAGCATGTTTCACAATGCAACACAAGCTAAAACTAAGCGCATACTATTCTAATAGATTTCGAAAGCGCAGAACATAGTTTTGTTTACCTCATTTGGTGGGATGGGTATACTGTTCTCTGGATTATTATCGATGCCTTTTTCAGGAAATTCGTCACCTACAAGAATCAGATGAATTTTCTTTTGTAATTAAAGGAGAGAGCTTAATCTATTTAACATCACCAAACATTGAAATGTGGATGTTTTGACGTACGCTTAAGCTTTATACTCACCAAAGCCTTTCTCTGTCAAAATTACAACGCTATAAAATGCCAGGGTAGTCCAAAATGCACTTCGTGAATGTATAACACGCATAATGGCTTTTTCTGCCAGTTAAAAGCAATAAATACAATCCAAAGTACAGTAAAAATTAGCCAGGCATATTTCAACCTGCAGACGCCGCAAAATTCTAGCTAACTACGTGTGTTTTAGTCATTTCGTTGCTGCATACAAGAACAGTGAACCAGACGATGCCACGTAAGGACGCCACTGCGCATGTCCTTGAAGCAGCGGTGGAAATCACGTGCTGTTCAGTGGTCATTCCCCTGGTAATCATATGACAGGCGAACATGGCGGATAGCCGGTGCATCCCGAATCGGAGAATTATTATTGCACAAACTTCCACAAAGCTCTCGAAATGAAAAGAGCATTATGTCAGACGCTTTGGAAGCTTCTCCAGAGGCAGACGTACACTTGCTTGTCGTCTCGGTATGGGATATGGTTGTGTATCGGGGGCCTGTTGCTGACTTTAATCTCAGCTTTTCAGTTTGGAGAAGTCGTTGTTGAATGGAGTATGCAAAAGTATGCCGTAAGGTTCAATGCCTTTCACGATAACCTTCTTGGAAATTCATATCAGAACAGACTTTGCCTTCCATTACCGATTGATGTCGTCTACACCTGGGTCAATGGAAGCGATCCAAAGTTACTCGCTGATTTGGAGAAACTTAAGCTAGAAATGGAGTTGGAACAAAATAGAACCACATTGAAAGAAATAGCGAAGTTGAGGAGCGAAACAAATGCTACAGACGAAGAAATTGCTAAGCTGATTTCGGAGAAAGCGTTGAATTCTAAGAAGGAAAAGAAAGGAAAAGGAGCAGCGGAGAAAAATGGCGATAAAATAGGCGATTCGCGCTGCCCTTTTGAAAATTGTGTTCCAGCTTTCAGTGTCATTGTGGAAAATGGTCTCCTGGGTGATTTGCAACTGTCGCAACTACGCGGGATCGATTTCTCGTTCGCGAAAGCTACCAGGTGTTTTAACGTCACCACGCCAGATGCAAGTAAGGAACATGTGAGTGTAATTCAATTCCCCGGAAAAAGTGAGACTGATGACGCGTTGAAAGTTAAGATCAGATGGCAAGATAAGAGTTATCGCAGCAAAGAAGGTTATTACACAAGTGATGCTACTAGACCCACTGCAGTGAGGAGTGACACTGAAGTGATGATTATGAACTTGAAAGGAGCAAATGAAGTGGAAAAAGTCAAGAAAGATTTAAAAGACCGTTTTGGAAGTAAACTAAAGAATGTGATTTTTCATGCTGATAAACTTGTTATTGTTGCATACTTCTCAGACAAGGTGTCAGCCTCTTCTGCATTAAAATTAAGTTTGACTTTTAATGGAAAATCTCTGAATTTAGCCCCAGCCTTTTTGATTTGGGCCTCATTTTTTTTGAAGCAGGGCACAAATGATGACAAAAAAGAAGATGCTGATATCTCTGCAAGTCGTTTTGCAGACAATGAGGAGTTAAAATATTCTCTCCGTTCAGTTGAAAAGCATGCGCCATGGGTTAGAAACATTTTTATTGTTACAAATGGCCAAATACCATCGTGGCTCAACTTAGACAATCCGCGACTTAAACTAGTCACTCATGAAGAGCTTTTCCTCAATAAAAGTCATCTTCCAACCTTTAGTTCTCCAGCTATAGAAGCTCATCTTCATCGAATCCCAGGGTTGTCACCAAAGTTCATATATCTCAATGATGATGTCATGTTTGCTGACAATGTATGGCCAGATGACTTCTATACCCATGCTAATGGACAAAAGATTTATTTAACATGGCCTGTCCCAAACTGTAACGAGGGCTGTCCTTCCTCATGGGTGAATGACAAGTATTGTGACAAAGCTTGCAATGTTTCAGAGTGCGACTGGGATGGTGGTGACTGTCTTGGTGTCAAGCGTAAGACTCAGTGGAATTATCAGGGGTGGCAGAGCCAGCACTCAAGTTTTCGCATACAGTATTGCTCTCCAGGATGTGCAGATACCTGGGTAGGAGATCGTTACTGCGACGTAACTTGCAATGTTGCGCAGTGTGGGTTTGATGCCGGTGACTGTGGAGTTGCACAGTTCAGTGAATTGCATCACGTAGATGTCGATCAAAACACACACACAGTTGACATACCTCAAGGCATAACAGTTTTGTATTTCAACATTTCAAAAGCTTTTAATGAAGGGAAAGTAACTTCTGGAGAGTATTCTGAAACCCAGTGTGTACGATCAGCTACAGTGGCTCAAAAATATAAAGTGTTTACTCTGACTCTCCGAGTAAACTGTACTTCAGCATCTGTCAGCTTCAAGATTGAAGGATATAGGGATAAGAATGAAACAAAAAAGGCAGTCATTCACTTTAATGCAACAATAGATACAACAGCAGCACAAGAGATCAAGGCAGTTCCAATTACAACTCCTAAACCAAGCAAATTAACAACGACAAGGGCACTCAAAACTCCATCATCAAACGTACCAAAACCTCCAAGAACTATTTATCCAATCAGAATTCAGAATGCTAACCAACCTTTCAATTACTGGGTGCTTGCTAATGAGTCTGTTCACAGACCAACGTGGCCACCCTTAACAAACCAAGACTACGAGATACCTCAGCTTTCAAATGACACAGTTTTACCACAACATGTTCAAAATGCATTGGCAGATGTTGAGAAAAGTTTCAAGGATGGGGACTTGACAGAGAAAGGCTATGCAAGAAAGAAGAGCAAGATTTTACATGACTTTTTAACCATAGTTCCAACTGAACCAGCACATGTACCAGTTGCCATGTTAACATCACCTTTACCTGAGACAGAAGTAAAGGTAACAGTTCCTACCAAGTTAGAACAACAGGTTAGTAGATAAGTGCAGTCTAAGACTCTAATCAATGTGTAAAGTGAGAGAGATTGTCTTGAGTGCTAATTATTATTACGGGAGAGCAGGGATGGCACAGTGGTTAGAGCTCTCCACTCCCACCAGTGTGGTCCAGGTTCGATTCCAGCCAGGTGCCATACATGGGTTGAGTTTGTTGTTGGTTCTTGCCTTGCTCCAAGGGTTTTCCTACCTCCTCAAAAACCATCATCTCCATTTTGAGGACCCACATGAAAACCAACGAAGATGGCTGAAGTCTTACCCCTGATTTCTCAAACTACTCAATTTTTCAAACCAATTTCTGTTCCCCTTGGAGGGAACAAAAATCTGGATTGAAACAGTGGTTGAATAGACATTAATTTCTGTCTAACCCCATCTACACAACCACAAAAAATGCTATCATGTTTGTGCATTACATGGTTGTGTACAATTTTGTGTCTTTTCATGAATTACAGTGCACTTTTTTTAACCCTTAGGAAAGAAAGAGTGGCAAAGAAGCTGAGTACATGAAGACTTCTGAGCCTGTGGGAAATCACAAAGTGGAATCACGATCTCATCAAAGGAAGCTGTTATCATTTGAGATGTCAGAAATAGCAGCTGTTTATGATAACATTGGCAAGCAGGACCATCAAGATCACCATGAGAATTTAGAACAGCAACCGTCAGAGGATGACTTCTTTTTAGCAGACTGGATTGCAAATACTAAACAAAAACACTTGTCATTTGAAAATGACCAGGAGGAGAGTAACAGGAAATGGGCAAATCGCTATGGTCACTCTTCGCCTCAAATACTGCAAAGTGTGGCAAGTTCTCTCCCTTGGGAAAGACGTGGAACATTTAGTCAGCTTCAAAAATACAGTGAAAGATGGAAACATTCACAGGAATTCACAAATTATCATGCTCCTGGCCGAAAGTTAATGGACACATTTGCAGATTCACTGCTTCATGTACACAGAATCTATAATCGCAAGTTTGGGTACATGGGACGAAAAGTTCCTGCCCATATGCCTCACATGATTGATTTGAAGATCATGGAAGAGCTACAAGCTCTTTTACCTGAAGAGTTTGACAAAACATCTTCACATAAGCTTCGAAGTTCAGATGACATGCAGTTTGCATTCTCCTATTACTACTTTGTGATTGGACAGAAGAGATGTGCAAATGTCACAGAGTTCTTTGCAGAGGTGGATGCCGATCATTCAGGTTTGGATGAGTTTTTGAATACAGTATGTACATTGGAATCCCTGACCACCCAGTTAATTTGATCATCTTTTCAGTACAGCTACCTTTTTTTGATGCGAAGAAAACATGCTTAGTCAGCCATTTTCTTTTTTTTAACTACCCATTAAATATGATTACTACTTTTAATTAATACAACCAGCATAATACAACTGCAACTACTTGTCCCAAAGATGGCTGTATTAATATTTCATTTTAGCTCTTGTTAGTTTCTGCGTGTACATTTAGAGTACATCTGTTTCTTGGGATCCTTTCTACATCTCTCTTTTTTATAGGTTTTGCTCTTGCTCTATGGGTCACTTGGCCTGATGCAGACGTAATCTTCACCTACATGTCAGGGCTGTCATTAAGTTTTAATTCACCTGTAGCCTTGATCTTCACACCCGTAGCAAACTTGTTACTTTATGGGTGAATTGTATCAAGTACAGGCCAGTTCACCTGTAACATCAAGGGTCCATCAAACATATTCAGCCATAACAGGTGTTACGGGTTACGGCCCTTATTGACCTCCCTGCATGTACCTTAATTTCTACGGATTTCTGTTAGCCAGAATTTAATTTTGCCCTGAGGTAAATTAAAAGTGAGGCATTGATTCTGATAGTGCAATTTGCAATATTATTTATTTTCCGTTCAGGAATACTGTCAGATCGAGAATTGCGTACTCTGGCAACACGGCTGTACACCTTGCCTTTAGACCTAAATGACCTGAATTCTCTTGAGCAAACCCTGTTGAAGTGCGACAACAGAACCATACCTGAAGCTAATGAATCTAACCCAAATCATCACCCGATACTGCCACAGGTGTCGTTGGAATTTCTCCAGAGATGTGATCCCTTGTTAAAAATGCTGAATGATTCTTTCAAGGGTGTTACAAAGAACAAGTTTGAAACTCTTGGAGATGAAGATGTCGCATTTCACATGATTCGCGACAACGCATCTGCTGTTCTACAACAGTTAGATGCTATAAGAGGAAAGAAGAAAAAGTTTGTCTGCTTGAATGATAACATAGACCATAGCAAGAAGGATGCAGAACTTATCAAAGCCCTCCTGGTGGATTTTTACCAGTCTCTATTTCCTATTCCATCTCAGTTTGAACTGCCTCAAGAATACAGAAACAAATTTCTTTATGTCAGCAAGCTGAATGAATTTTTGAAGGAAAGAGAGGTCATAAAATTTTGGACTAACATTTTATTGGCGATTTTAATTTTAGTTGCAGTTTTTTCAATTTTCCCAGGTTTTCTATTCTATCTGATCCAACTGTTATGTCCTTTAAGGAGACTTTTCTCTTTAGTTCAAAAAAATAGTTCATCTACCTCACGTCTCATGACTGTCTAGGATGTACAAATTGTTTACAGAAATAAAACTCAGAGCTCTTTCATTGAGTTAGGGACTATAGCTAGTAATTGTGTTTGGCTTGTGTGAAGTGTCAGTTACAGACTTTGGACCCGGTGACAGCTAGTATGCATCAAATATGTGCACTGTACTTCAATTTTTTCCATCACACTAACAAATAAAATGTTTGCCAACCCCACCCCACCCCCACCCCCTTACCGCTCAAAATAGTTAATTATTATATAAAGATCCTCTCAACCTCTTTGCTTTGCATAACTTTGCTGTCGTTATATTTTGGGGATATCTATGTGTTACTAGACAACATGAGAGTTGCTAGTGCAAAGTTTTGTGAGATCAATCGAACATTCAAGTTATGATTTCGAAGTGACAATAGATGACCTTCAAAGAATAGTAAGAGGAGAAAACTGAAAAATTTGGCGTGGTAGATGTGATGAATTCATCTTCACAAGAGTCTAGTTTCAAGCTAGTGCACTGAAATGACCACCAAATTATGCAAAGTGATACTCGGTTGAGCAAGGATCCTACATTGAAGTAATGTTTAAAATGACACAAAATGATACCATAGAGTGGATGAATGTTCCAGTCAAAAGTCTAAGTTTCTCTGACCATTTTTGCTGATATTATTCTATTTATAGTTATTTTAATTTACTGAAACAAACTACAACTGAGCTCATGGAGTGAATGATTTGCAGTCTGAAATCAGACTTTAATTATTTCCAGGATAAAAAGACTGTAATTAAATGAATTCTTTAGTTAGGCCAGATACTGAGCAGTTGTAATTATTTATCCTGAATGTATTCAGACAAGAAAACTTTTATTGTGCACCTAATAAGATGATATTTTTGTTAGATTTTGCCAAATTTTAGCTCAAGAAAAAATTAGCGCAATAAACAATTAAAATTAAACATTATGTTATTTTGCTTTTCATGCAATCATTCCTGGGTCAGAAATCCTCACTGAAGACATACAAGTTGTCTGTTGGCTTATTACCCGGACTTGAATCTCTGTGTGCAAGTAACAACCAGTTACTCAGTACTACTCATCTCTTGCTAGCTCCATGTGCAGATTGCAGACCCACGATAGTACAGTGGAAACCCACCTTTCAGCCACCCTGTTAGCGCGGCCACCTTATTACTACGGCCACTTTATTCTGGCCTGGACAACCCCTGCCTTACGGCCACTCTGTTAATATTGCCAGAAGTTTTCGGCCTGTTACATATTTTATATTTTACATATTTTATATACAGCTACAGCTTTGTACCAATCTATAAAGATGGCAAACCCTTTGATGTTCTATAAATACTTGAGTGTGCACAGGGATGCAAGATGATAATATGTACCCATCATGGCCCAGGTTTTCAAAGAGTGGATAATGCAATCCACCAAATAAATTATTATCCAGTGGCCAGTGAAGTGTTAACAAAAAAATGCTATGCCATCTACTGGAAAGTGACTTATCCAGTGCAGATCATTACTGAACAACTAAGGCCAGGCTAACGCACACTGTTTACCGGACACTGCAAACAGCTGTCAAGAAACAAGCAAATAAACTAACAAAATAACAGATTAAAAATGTTATTAAAAACTTTTATTTCTAAATAACACCAAGACAAAGTAAAACCTCTCCCACATTATATTACAGTTTTCCTTGAAGAAACGTTCACACTGTACAGCTAAATTAGAACACTAAATTCCCTTAACAAACAAGAACGAACTGTGCATTAAAATATTGCACATAAGTACAGTGTAGATAATCAAAAAAACATTGAATTTTGTGTTGCAGATAAAAATACATGTATTAACAATCTTTGTTTACATCAGCATTTCTCTAATCTCTTCATAAGCACAAAAAGTCTTACAACAAGGAATGATACTATCTGGCAGCAAAGTGCTGCCGTAACTAGTAAATCTTTGTTGACATTTGTAACGTATCCAGTTTTCATTATGAAAATTATCAAAGAACACCACAAGAAATCAAGATTACTCTAGAAGTCACACCATCATGGCATGGTCCGTAGCTTAGTAACTCTGAGACTAAACCTATTGATTTAATCCAGAGAAGAGCAATAAATTTTGCAAGTTAGACAGATTCTTGAACTTTCTCAATGCATCCTAATAACCAGCTATTAATAGCATAAAATAATAGACTTCACTTAAATAGACTGCCTGCTTTTTACAACAGTAAATAATTTTTGAGAATGTTGTAGGAGAAAACAAGTCTTCACCATCAAACAAGAAACAGGCAAATAAAAAACCTTAAATATGAACTAATAAAACTAACATTGAAACACATATTCCAGGTTCTTATATTTTTGCCACTCAGAAGTTATCTATTCATGTTTATTAAAGCTTATTTCATAATTTCACTGGCTAAGCAGTTGAAGGGTTTTTGCATATATCTAAACATATAAACATTTACATGAAAAGAAATGATGGAAATTGTCAGTATATAAACTGGGCTGACCACAAAATTTGGCTTTTCATTTCCTGAGAAAACAAAAGAAACCAAACCCAATGTTGACTCATTTTCTGAGGAAAATGGAATGCAAATTTAACTTAACATTTTTCTTGAAAACAAAACAATGAAAAAATCTCAACTTCTCAGAAAACAGATTAAGTTTTCGTTTTTAAGGTTTGATTAAAGAATCACCACCACACACTTCTTCTGAGTCTGTTGGTGACTTAATAATCCTCATCCGCGGCTATATTAGCATCTTCTCCCATTTCTGAATACTGTCTGATGAGACCACCTTCATTGTATGTTCTTTGTTGTACTCCAGTGCTCTTAGTATCCTCAGCAGTATCTTCCCTGACCTTGATGACACTGCTGCTTTTGACATGCTGCATATCTACTAAGATATCTGGAGCACCTTGTATCCCAGTGACAGAGAGGAAAACTTGTAGAAAGAACATGGTAAAATTCACAAAGTGCAGCTGTGCTAGTATTTATTGCTGATCAGAAATCAGATCTGGACGTTCTTCCGTGAATCAGATATGAACGTCCCGTGATAAGGGATTGGAGCTGATCTCCCCTCATCCTGCAATCAATAAACATTGCTTAGAATTAAACATTATGTTGGACAAATAACATTATAAATCACAACTTAAAGATGATTTCCAGTCTGTACTGTGTACTCTCAAGAGTTTACTTATGTTTCTTGTTTTGTTTCATGTAAGACACCACAAAATGTAACATTTTGCAACTACTTATATGAAGTAAATTCAAAGTTTCATGTCAACCACCATTATGGATGCGAAGCTTTATGCTTCGTTCTTTCTCTTAGCAACTTTGCGGCTGTAAAAATCAATGAAGCTGTTGGAAAAAGAATTTGAAAGGCCTCCAAGATAAGGTATGTGGTTTGTAACGAATGACATCAGTAGCATTCCATCGAGTGAGACACATAAACATTAGGGTGCTGAGACTGCGCAGTATGGACTGGAAATCATCTTTAACTGTTACAACCCTTACAAGTGTAAATGAAGCCCCTATAGAGTGATCAGCAAAAAATTTCTCCTCACATCATCAATACATAATCAAGAGAAACACTCCAGGGAATTTAGAAAGTGATCACTGCAAAAAAATTGTCCTGATCTCAATATTATAATTCTTTCCCAGATCTAGGCTCTGTCCAAGCGTAACTTAGGCAAACAAGGGACATAAACATGATTGTACATGCATTTCTTTTGTTTAGGAATCATTGTTTAGCTATTAGAGGTGTAATTTTTAATAGCACATGGTTCTTACAAACATGGAACAGAACCCAAGATCAAAACACTCAAGAAGTGGAGAGTATGGAGAGTTTCATCTGTTCAATTAAATTTAGGCAAGGTGCAACAATTACATGTAGGGGCTGAAAGATAATTTGTTTGACAAGTACAAACAGTCTACAGTACTAACAAGTCTTTGTACTTGATCTAAGTCATTTCCTAGGAATAAGTTTTAAAATAAAATTAGGATCACATCTGTCACTCCATAAAAAATACAGACAGTGTTAGGTCCCATTCCTTTGACGTCCCTATTAGGATGGTTGACTGTAGTACAGTTTATATGATTTATTAAAGACTTACATTATTACTGTCTGAAGAAAGAGCTTCATCAAATTCCATTTTCAACTTATTTATCTCTGCTTGCATTTCTTCATTTGCTTTGTTAATCTCCTCTACTTTCTGAAGAAACAGAGAAAATAACGTTTCAAGCCAAAGGTTACTAGGCTACCCCCATCATTAAGTTTGCCGCCACCAATTTATACTCTGGATCGAGAGAGGCACTACGGTAGTAAAGTGTCTTGCCAAAGAACACAACACAATGTTCCCAGCCAGGGCTTAAACCCAAACCACTAGATCCAGATTCCAATTTTAAAACTAACCATCAAGTCTCCACACCTTTCAAAACATCATGAAAATCTATGCAATTAAGGTCAGATATGCAAAGGTGGAGGCAGGGTGGAGCTCATGGGAGGAAACGAAGACAATCGCAGCAGACTAAGAAAAGTGGAGGACCTCTGCAAAGGCCCTTTGTGTCACAAGGCATGAGGAGGTTAACAGGTAACACGCAAACACCATCATGGTAATGATTTGCTTTGTTTAAACTTCACAAAGTATTAATGTATTGAGAAGTGATTTCATTTTCAAAGCATTTTGCAAGATTAAAATTTCCACCCCGTACATGTTCCTGTGGGTGGTTGACCACAACTTATAGCTCATGTTGTAAAATTTGACCATGTCAAATATGATTTATATTTTACATCTCTATACAAAAAAACAATTGCTTCTTTTCCTGAGTTACATCAACTTACTCTTTTGAAGCCCTCAAATCCTGTTTGATCAGGCACATCCTGCTCTGTTTGACCAGCAAGCGACATTCCGCCTTCATCTCGATCCATCATTCTATCGTCTTGCAAATTATCAACCTCTTCTTCTTCTTCATCAAATTCGTCTCTGGGGTTGTCCTCATCATCATCATCAGCCTCCTCTTGTGATGGATCCTCTGATGATTGTTCAGGATTGTGGACTACTTCTTCTCTTGCATCTCTTTCTTCTTGCTCATCTTCTTCTCTGTCTTCATCTCTACTATATTCCTCTTCTTCTTCTTCTCGTTCATCTCTATCATATTCCTCTTCTTCTTTCTCTTCTCCTTCATCTTCCATTTCTCTTCTATCATCAGTCACCTCAGCTTCATCCCTGTTTGCTTCCTTCTCACTAGTTTCTATCAATTAACATCATAATGGATGGAAACATTAACTTTGTAGGGAACATTGTAATAGGCCAGTACTTCATTCATCATACATGCGATATGCAGGTGAGGGAAAGGAAAGCTTGTAGTTTTAATTTCTGACATTTGAATTAATTGGACTTTAGGAAATGAAGATCAGCTTCAAGCCCTGGCCAGTGTCATTATGTTATGTTCTTGTCAGGACACTTCACTCTCACAGTTCTATCTCCAACCAGGACCATGATATGGGAAACACCATTCTAGCGAATACCCTGACAAGATTGTGTTTAACACATGAAATGACAAAATGGCACAATGGTTAGCCTAAGTAGCACCCCAGTTAGCCTAAGTAGAGTATCACTAACTCTACAGTGGTCAGCTCTCAATAGTTAACCCTTACAGACACCTGTATCTCACACCGACTCTTACCTCTACATGGTGCCATTTTGACATTTTGCCATTTCATGTAGATATGCCCCCTAAAAAAAATGCTCACAGCATTTGAGAGGCAAAATGCTGGACAAGCATTGCATTCAATGAGAGAAGCAAATGAAAGCAGCAACCCTGCTTATATTTAGTACCATTTGTCATTTTGGTATATTTCTGTGGGCCAGTATATTTTATATCAACTCCCCTTCTCCTTTCCAGGTTCCTCTTTTGACTAGGTAAGTTAAACTTTACCCTTCACGAACAAGAATACAAATGCCGATGCAATACTACTATTTTTTGTTACATGATTAAAATACGGTAGGTATTGAGGTAATAGTAATGGAGGTATTTTGGGGAGCTCTTCTCCTTAAGCTTGTTTGCACCTCTGGTTTTCAAAAATATGGAAAATCTTTAAACAGATTCTGTAAAGTTACAACCTCGACTCATCTAAAATTGGTGGGAGACTATTGTCAACAACAAATGAGGAAGAAGTGATTCTTTCTCCCAACTTTCTCGTCAGTTTTCATCCCTAAGTTGGTTACGTCGAAATCTAGACTGCAGTTTACAAATATCTGTTCACAGCTGCTGGAAAACTAGCGGACACCCAACAACAGAGCTCGTGAGTAACCCCGTGTCGTCAGTTGCGTTTCACTTACCTTCTATATATTTTCCTAAGGATATGAATGGTCCAAAGAGTAAGACCAGAAGCAAAATGAATGTCTTTATTCCCCGCATTTTTCAGAATCCACTTTTAACATTGCCCCCTGAACTACACTGCACGACAAACAAGGGTGTTGAATATTGCAAAGAACGACGGGATGGATGAAAATGGTAACCTCGCCTCCCAAGAGACGGAGCTCAAAGTAACAAAAACTTCGGAAATTGCATTGAAAACTGTGGATATCCTATTCTGAAATAATTCTGAAACTACCTCTGTCAGTTTGTCTCAGTTTTCTGTTTTGCAGCTTTAATTCCTTCTGTAGCATGCATCCCTCTTTGAAGGAAAGTGTAGAAACTCTTTTTCCTTGGCCATCGTAGCTTTAGAAGAAACAAAACACAAACC